GCAAAAATCACATCTGTCCCTGAAGTTGTTGGGAGTTCGAGCTTTATAGATGAGCTTCTATTTTAACTGACGATACCGAAGTATCGGCTTTGCGAAATTAAATATTACCATGGATTTCTAAAGTCTCCGCTTACATAATTACATTTATATATATATATATATATATATATATATATAAAAGTGAACATAAAGTCAACAATTAGAGGCGACAGTCTGTTTCATGCTATATGCAATCGTGGCCTCACGATTGCATATAGCATGAAACAGACTGTCGCCTCTAAGTGTTGACTTCTATGTTCACTTTATATTTACACACGCTCTATCTCTGATATTGAGCACTTTATCCCATATAGCACACCTTAAGACTATATTTCTTTTATATATATATATATATATATATATATAGATAGATAACTACACTCGTCTCGGAAAACCTTCGGTTTCTTGATTTGCTAATTATCAAGGAAAAAAGGTTTTAAAAAAGAAAGAGCTAGGAACATGAACGTCTGTCGAAAATAATCGTACAGCATACAGGTCCAAAGCCCAAAGAAAAAAAAACCGATACGAGTAATCAACTAACTAAAAAAGTGCTCAATACAAAGTAGAGCGGACCTAGTCAAACCTTCAGAGCCAGACAAACCTACCAAGGTTTCACCTAAACAGATCGTCAGGGAAAGCTGGCTAAAGAGGTAAAGAAAACTGTATACTTATCGGCAATAAACAAAAGACCAAGAACACGTGACCAAACATAAAAAAACCCACAAAAAACAACAACTACAACAATAGGGAGGGTGGAGAAGAAATTTATTCGAAACGGCTTAAAAGGGAGGGAGTGATTTAGAGACAAACACGGGCAAAAACTGTTAAAAAACTATATAATCCTAATGGATTATATATATATATATATTTATATATATATATATATATATATATATATCTGTGTGTTTGAGCAGTAATCGTTCTTAAAAAAATGACTCTTTTCTTAATCATTTCGCTCCAAGCAAAGCAATAAAGACCTTAAGGCGCAAGGGCGGGGCACTGAGTGCGAGGAAATATGAGAAAAAGAAAATACTATTAAGGTGAGATAACAATAAAAGAACAAGAATTAAGAAGACAGAAGATAAAGACTGGCATTGCATGTAATTTTCTAAAGATCAAAGTTGACTGGAAAGCAAGAAGCCAGAAGAGAGTTCTTCAAGTAAGGGGGGGGGCGAGAGAAGAAACTGTTAACATAGAACTTACGGTTGCATGTAGCCATTTCAACTGTAAGATGATGAAATCTTTCCGCCAAATCTAGTAGTACGCTTAAATTCATAAAGCCTAGGTACCATATAGGAAAATTCATCAGAACAATTACCATGAAAGTATTTACAGAAAAGGCGCAGCGAAGCTATGTTACGGCATTGGGAAAGTGACTGGAGCCGAGATACCAGGTCAGTACCAATAATATCGCAGATTCGTGTTCTTATTCATTCAAGAATGTCTAATAACAGAGCAGAAGCACCAAACCAGATGTGTTAGCAATATCCAATGCCTAGACGAATAGTAAACAAATATGGTACAGTGAACCAACTTTCCTAACAGCAGATCTAACAATTGATACAATATAATCTTTCCATTTCATGCCATCGGAAAATGCTAGCCCGAGAAGTCGTAAGAGGTCACTATCCTGGAGGTTATCATCAACCATAATGATGGAAGGCAAAAATGGTTGTCAGACGATTAACAAAAACAGTAGATATTTTATGTCTGTTAACTTTGCTGATCGTTTTCTAGTGCATAAATAATGTTTCTTAATGAGGTTATTAATTATGTATAAATTAAATAAAAATTCATATCATATCTAAGTTATAGATAATTGGAGCCAGTCACTAAATCAACTATTCAAGGCACAAGTTTTGGGGTGATTCCACATGAATCGACCCCAAACTTTTGTAAACAATTTGGTCATTTATTGTGAATTTCATGTTTAAATTTAATTTGATTGCAAAACTCTATAGTATTTGCTGCTATAGTATTTATAAGATTATTTCAAACAACTTACATAATCATAAAAATAACATTTTTTAAAGAGAACAAAGAAAAATATGACCTGCATTTAAGCGCTGTAATGAATTGACAATTAGGTCTCATAATTCCACAGCTGAAATTCCTATTTGTAATCGTAAATTCTATGCTAATTTTCTCTCGCACTTCACTCATGTGAAATTCTCTTCCGGCTTCTTGTTTATGTATCAACTATGATCTTTAAAGATTAAATGCAATGTCAATCGTCATCTACCGCCTTGAATTATGTTCTGATCGTCTCTTAGTGGTTTTATTGCCTTGCTTAGGATGAAATTATTTAAAAAAATAAATGATAAATATATATATATATATATATATATATATATATATATATATATATATGTATATCCTAAATTATAAGTCATCTATATATCTTATTTAGCTACCCACTTAAAATAAACTGCATTTTTTAAATCAATTCACCCCAAGTAAGGTGATAATATCACTAAGACATAAAGTGATAATACCACTAAGATGTAAGGAGCTATTCGGAGTGAAAGAGAATCAAAAGACTTAAGGAGGAACCGGAAACGCAATCCTAAACAAGGAACAATGCATACACCTCTACTGTTCAAAAGACATGGGAGGACTGTGAGCCAGACTATAGGCGAAACTATCTACTCCTATTATGGGAAAAACAGCCGACAGCAAACGAAAGTAAGTAAGGAAGGAGAAACTATTCTTCGCATGCTCCAAACGAAGAATAGAGCAACATCGTCAAACAATCTGAATATGACGATGGTGACAAATTACTGAAAGAGTAAATTAAAAAAAAAAAAGAAAAGAAAAAGGTGTTCTCAGAAAGGTTAAAGAGTTTGAAACGAATCTAAAGAACGTGCAATCCTTGGACGTTGATTCATACTCTTGGGAAAGGTATGAATCCATCGTTTTCCCCTCAGCTATGAGTAAATAACGGAACAGACTGGGTCCTATAGTTTTGGGTGGCAACCGACGTAGAAGGTAAAATTCTGAATTCAAAACCAGTTTGGAGAGGGTGAGGCTCCGTCAGGCTATCTTGCCTAAAACACATCCCTGCTATTGCATCTGCAGTACGTGTGGTGCCCCTACGACCCTAATGGGTAACAAGTTTCATGAGTGTAACATTTCAATTATATAATTAAGTAATCGTTATATATATATATATATATATATCATCCACATACAGGCCTGTTTCGTTGTATCACAGCTCATCAGTGTGGCTAGACCGATTTGGCATCAGTCGGAGTTTCTACTCCTGAGCTATCCACGCACGGCGGAGGGAAAGAGAAATTCTAGCGTATTATTTTTATGATTGTAAATAAGCGTTGTCTTTGTGTGTGTGCATGAGTGTGTACGTGTGTGTGCATTTGATTAAGAAACTGTGAGATGTCGGTCCCTAATGTTTGTGTTATAAATTTACTAGCGCTTAGTGCTATATTCATATCAGCATTGACCTATAGTAGTGTACAGTACGATATGTTTAGTGAGATATTTTTATTATACTGTATGTGGGGTTATAGTTTAGCTTAGTCTGTACTTAAGAGTATTTGATCGAAACTAAAATGGCGGTACCCATGTGTAATCATCATCAGCGTTTTTATAGCTTCTCATTTCCAGTAAACGGAAATTTCCTATTTCTCCCAAAATGGGCCAGCACAGACAGGCATCAATGTTATAAATATGTAACAATTAATGTATTAAAAATCACAGATATTTATTCATTAATGCACACTGTAAAATCCGGCATTAATTTAAAAAATAAAAATCTAATATTAATTTTAGATTTCCACACATTGATACCTACTATTCACAAAATATTTCAAGTTAGCATTGATTAATTGTTAATATTTCGTTATGAGTAAACATCGTAAAAACAATTTAAATACGAAGATGGTGACAAATTACTGAAAGAGAAAGGGTGTTCTCAGAAAGGTTAAAGAGAGTTCGAAACGAATCTAAAGAACGTGCAATCCTTGGGTGTTGATTCATACCCTTGGAAAGGTATGAATCAATCGTTTTTGATAGTGAGTGGAGACAGGAACTTTGGGATTTGGGCAAAGCGTTTTCGGCTATTTGTCTATTTTTATAATCCAAGCATTACTGTGATGAAAGCCAATAACTTATTGCAAACGTCTAGAATAAAAAACAAATAAATAAAAAAAAAATACTTTGTAAGTTTTAATCACTTTCGCATGAATTACATTTGGCTAAAACAAACGCACTCAAAGATTATCGGATGCACTCTACGATTGCGGAGGACCTATGATCACATTGCTGGGACTTTGTTGCTGAAACAACAAAGAGTCAGAGACTAGACTACATAAAATCATAGCTGCATATAATTGCAGAACATTCTAATTAGAATGACGGAAAGTGCATCGATAAAAATAAAATAATGGTTGTTCTTCATCCCACAATTTATAATAACAATGGTTTAAAAGAAGATTCTTTTAAAATCAAAGAATTTATTCTGTCGTGTTTCTCAGCAATCAGTTTTTATGGAACAACAGAATAAATGCTTTTTAAATAGGATTATTTGTCACTTTTATGGATTTTTAATGTTTTTAGTTAATCTATTTTGATTTAAACAAAAAAATATTTGTTATGAATGCCAAAAATTTGATTGAAATTCTAAAATTTAATTTCATTCTTCATTCATTAAATTCATGAAAACACACGAATTTCATATTCGTGTGTTTTCATAAATTTATTTTTGGTTGTTGAATAAAAAATCTATCAACCCAGCATTTTCCTTTGGCATTGACTTTATTGTTGGCCGCTGTGAAGAATTGTACCATACTGATTTGTGGATTTTAGATGTTTACAAATTCAAATGGATTCCACTCAAATCAAAATAGGTCTGATAAGGGAATGCAAACCCGGAACAGAACAATGCTGTTGCTCTTCAGTACGAATACCTCATATTGGTAATTATTATTTCGTGATGTAATAAGCTTTTAAACGTTTTTATTTACATGTCTATGCACACACCATCATTCTACTATGAACCAATATCGTTCCATTCATATCTATCTATCTATCTATCTATCTATCCTTAACTCTCTCACTTCTATTATTTACGTTGTTTACATACAGAATATTGTCCTCATCTTTGTTGTTATTAACCCAACGTTTCTGCTGTTAAGCTCTTCGGACTTCATTTGGTAAACTTCAGGGAATCTCGAACTGAACACTTTATTTAATATACGAAGGTAGATTGTTCTCGTTCCGCTCTAGGGGAGATAACTCGTTTAGTTCTTATTTTAATACTGCTCATTTACTGCACCCGCCTTTTCGACTTAGCTTGAGTACACACTGCCCGGTCCAGGAATTGAACTCAGAATTACTATGTCACCATCCACGAGGGTATTTCCTGATCCCAGAAATCAGACATAAATCTATCAAGTCAGTTTGTTGATATTTATAAATACTGATACATACGTACATATATATATATGTGTGTGTGTGTGTAATTCTAAAGAATTGTTGGTATTATCTTAATGCGACATTTTTCTTACTTTAAACGTAATTATAGGGGATAACTTGTAGTTTAAATTGATGTCCTATTTTTCCCCTTAAACAGGGGGTATTATGTCTTATCTAACATGCGCATTCGAGAAATCCACTATAATAACGTTTGAAGCAATACAAATAGTGGATTAAAATAAACCTAATAATTCTTCAGAAATTGCTTTGTTTACGTCTCGGATACGAAACTGAGTAGCTATGAAGTTTTGGAGAATAAAGCTGGCTGGAAAGCATAGAGCGAGAAGTGCAAGAAAAGAAACTGTGAGCATAGAACTTACGGATACATTTAGCCGTAAAATCAACTGTAAATTGATGAGATCTTGACTCCAGTCTAGTACTGCGCTTAAATTCATATAGTCTAGGTACCATATCAAAGAGCTTATCCGAACAATTACCTTGAAAGTATTTATAGAAAATGCACAAGGAAGCAACTTTACAGCGGTGGTAAAGGGAATGAAACCGAGATGCCAGGCGAAGACCAATAATATTGCTGATTCTTCTTTGGATTTTATCAAGAATCTCTAAATATAAAGCAGGAGTACCGGACTATATGTGGCTGCAACATTCGAGGCATGGACGAATGCTAGTCTTATAGATATGTAAGATAGATTCAGGTGATAATAATTGTCTAGCACGACACAGTGAACCAACTTTCTTATCAGCAGACCTAGCAATGGTTTCAACATAGCCTTTCTGCTTCATATCAGCCCGAGAAATCGCAACGAGTTACTCCCCTGTAAGTTAACATCAGTCAGGCTGACGGGGGATGTAGAATGTAGTCTCTCGGATAATTAATAGAGAGCAGTTTTGTTTTGGCGGCGTTTAAATTAACAAGTCATCCTTTGCCCGAGTTAACAACAGATTGTGGGTCTTTTTTGAGATCATCCACCAATTTGATCTTATCGATCTGATCAGGGCTACTATCGAGGAAGGAGTAAATGGTTGTATCATCAGCATTGATACCAAGTTGTGAGTTGTTGCCATCAGGAAGTTCGTTAATGAAAATTAAGAACAAACTAGGATCAAGGATAGAGCCCCGTGGGCACCGGCATTAGTACGAATGGATCTAGAGGAGTGGCCGTTCAGGATAACTTTCATTTCGCGTTGAGATAAGAAAGACTGAATCAGTTCAAAAATTCGTCAGGAGACACCATAACTTTTCAACTTGTGAAGAAGACTGGTATGCCCAACCCTGTCGAACGCCTTCGAGATGTCCAGAGCAATATTACGAGCTTCACCATTCTGATTGAAAGCTTGATAGATTCTTTCCGCAATAATCCTTAATACATCGACAGTTGACCTAGATAAACGAAAGCCATATTGCTTGTCTGGAAAAAAAAGACTCTGCGATGTGAGAGGCTTAAGCAATTCTGCATTATTATTTAATGCCTGATTTAGCATCCCACTTCCATATTTAACGCCTGATTCAGCATAACACTTCCATATTTAACGCTTGATTCAGCATAACACTTCCATATTTAACACCTCATTTAGCATACCACTTCCATAGTTAACACCTGATTTAGCATCCCTCTTAAATATTTAACACCTGATTTAGCATCACATTTCCATATTTAACACCTGATTTAGCATACCACTTCCATATTTATCACCTGATTTAGCATCCCTCTAAAATATTTAACACCTGATTTAGCATCACACTTCCATATTCAACACCTGATTTAGCATACCACTTAAATATTTAACATGTGATTTATCATCCCACTTCCATATTTAACACCTGATTTAGCATCCCACTTAAATATTTAACGCCCGATTCAGCCTCACCTTCAATATTGAACATCTCACCCCGCTCCCACATTTATTTTTGTGGATCCCGCGTGAAAAATAGGTATCTAATAAATGACAAACGCAAGTATTAAAGCTAAGAAATTAAATGTATTTACACCAAATACAAAAGGTAATGCTGTTAGTAAAATCCAGGAACGTCGGTTAGTATCAAATACAGATAGATATATACAGTCTCGAAGTAGGACTTCCTTAGAGTCTACGTGCTTGTAACTGACTTCTACAAGAGGTTACCTCACTCCATCCGACACCCTACGACTCCGGTACGACTCCGGTACGACTCTGGTACGACCCTTGTACGACTCATGTACGACTCATCTTCTCTGCCTGACTGTGGCTATTTTATGGCAGCAGGACGAGTCCATTATATCCGAAAAGGGTAGACCCCATAACATTTATAATACTATTTAGCCATCCACTCTTACATTAACACCTGATGTAACCTTCTCTTTCATATTCAACATTTTGTCGCCCCACACATTTAACATTTGACTTAACATCCCCTCTCCCTCTGAATTTAGCCTTCCCCTATCACATTTAACACATTATTTTGCCTCCCCACTCATATTTAACATCTTGCCCCTTCCCATATTTAACATTAATGGGAGTAGATAGGCTCGCCTATTATCCGGTCAGGACTCCTTCCATGTTTATTGAACAGGAGTAGAGGTTTATCCCTTATTTCTTGTTTGGGATTTGGTTTACCGTTTCCTTTCTTCCATGGGCGTTAATGATTTAACTGTCTTAACTTTTATGTGATTTGACCCAGTACTCTCTTTATGAGGGTGCTGGTTTGGTAGCTTTCTGGTAACTGCACCCGGATGGTAGTAAAGAGCCCGAAATATTTGGCAACGTTTAGAGAGGCTGCTGTGATTAACAGTTGCATAATGTCAGGATATTTGAAGTACCATGTCGCGCATGAATAGATATCGCATCAAATTTTCTCGTGGACAACCCTGAGGTTACATTATGCTTTAATCTTAATGCCATAGACGATGGATAGTGATAATTATTTGGGCATTTTTTCCTTAACACAATCTTCTTATGACAAACAATAAAAAACAAATACGAATAAACCAGTAAACCAACAATCGCCTTTTCCCTTTAACCTTTTTTCTCTCCAATATTCATGGTATTCGTATCAATTTCTGCAGTATAGAATCTTTTCTCTTGAAATGTTCTCCAGATATCCTAGCACTCTGTGAAACTCATTCTATCGCTACCGATGAATTGTCTGTTCCGGGCTATCAGCCTCATTGTCGAAAATAAATATATATATAATATATATATATATATATATATATATATATATATATATATATATATATATATATATATATATATATATATATATATATATGCATGGCCTTGGTGTTTTACGTCCTGGGAAATCTTCCATTGGCAATTGAATTGTCTCTTGAGTCCTTGTATGATTCTTTCATATACTTTCGACTTCCTATATTACACTCTGTTATCTATCGCTTTTTCCTTTATCGCTTTACTTCTTCTCGTGACTGTACCTTATTAGACAAAGTATTTTACAATATAAAAATGGCTCTCTCTCTCTACATTCATCTGCGAACATTTTTGTGTTTGGTGATTTTAATGCTCATAATGTCAAGTGAATTAATGTAATCTAAGATTGTTCTAATGTTACTGATGTTGCCGCTATGCAGACTTTCAATTTTTCCGTTGCTCTGTCTCACAGTCAAATAATGGATCCACTTACTCGTTTCCCTAATAATTCTTCCCTCCCTCCTCTTCTAGCTCTTGTCGAGCATCACAAATCGTACTGTAGTATATGCTGATATTTCTTTTGAGTCGTCACTTAGACAAGAGCCTTCTATTCATAAGACCTCTTTCAGTTATTAGCGTACTGATTGGGATTCATTTCGTGACTTTCTTCCAGACGCCCTTTGGATTGATATTCTTAACATTCTTGTTGAGAATTGAGTCGCTGAGTTTTTTTTTTCATTTGATTTATCTGATTTAGCCTTCTCTTCACATATTTATCATCTTAGCATCCACCTCTAATATCTGATTTAGCTCCCACACATTTTTATTTTTTCGCGCCAAACTTGTTATGTTGCCCTATGTTTGAAAGACCACATTGCTTAGGATTGTACAGATTTACTAATCGACTTAGCTAGTTTTACTCGGGATTAGCGTTATATATATTCTACAATATGTGTCAATTTGGGTTTCCTGTATTCAGTAGGTTCATTTTTTTTTAAAGTAATTTTCTAAACTAAGCTTACCCTGCTACATTCATTTATTATTTGAACTGTAATAACAAGCATTGTACTTCTGTACAATTCCCCGAAATTAATTTCCGAGGATATTTACAATCTGCAATTTAAAACTGAAAGTCATGAATTAAAAAAAAAATAAATTTAACATGAAAATCTACGCCAAGTTTCTAAATAGATTCCAACTTGGAAATAAATAAAAAGTTATTTGAAAGGATAAAGGCAGCATTTTTGTTCGGAACACACACACACACACATAAATTGTTGCCATTTTTCAAGCAAATTTTGAAGTGCTTCAATTAAAATTTCCCAAACTTCGTTTTTGTTAGATGTCTTCCTTTTCTTTCTCGGTTTTTGAAACTTTCATTTTAAAATCTTAATTAATATGCTTCATGATATTTTTTAATTAATTTTCTTTCTTTTGTTTGGTAAACATCTAATTAAAACACACGTTCTTCCTTACGACACGTCAG